ACGGGCAACAACGGCTTTCCTCCCCCTCGAATTGTGTAAATCACGACTGCTGCGCCAGCGCGCTGACGAAATACTGTCAAAACTATGTCGAAGACACTGTATCGATGTCGTTACGATAGAGTCATTTTGCAAAGGGAAGTCGGCACAAGCACAAACTACCCTGGAAAGCATGGGGCGAAGGGGGTTCAGTGAGCGTGACAATGTAGGAAACGAGTCGCGTACTCCACTCCTGTTGTTCGCACCTAAGCCCGACTCGCCCTGTCTCGCTCCCTCTGCTGTGCCGCGTCGCTCGCGCTCGGGCCGCCCTGAAGGCCGCCCGGCGCGCGGCCGGTAGGCAACCCGAGCGCACGGGTGCGCCACGGGACTGCATCCTGCTGGAGCGAGGGAGACCCCCGACTGGGCCGCGGTAGCCACGGTGACTGGAGCCGAGCTCCCTCTGTCTTTGTCGCAGGAAGCACTTCCCCTTCTACCAGGCGTCGGACGAGCGATGGAAGAACTCGGTGCGGCACAACCTGTCCATCAACCCGCACTTCCGCAAGGAGAGCAAAGCGCCGCAGGGCGCGGGCCACCTCTGGGTCGTCATGGACAACAACAACAAGGCCAAGAACTCGTGGGTGCGTGTTATAGGCGTCGGCCAAAGCTTGAGCAGGTCACAGCTTACGCACCGAGGCCGTCCACCTCACGGGCTCGCTTTGTCGTATTTCCAGAAGGAGGAGCGGATCCAAAACTTCCTGGCGGCGCAGATGTCCGCGGCGGAGGCTGCCGAGAGTGCCGCCAACGCCGCCAGCACAGCCAGCGCCGCCAGCGCCGCGGTCGTCCTGGAGCCCTGCGCGCCGAGCGCGCCCAGCCCGGTCTGCGTCGAGTCCCCGCCCTCCCCGGTGCGGCCTCCCACGCCCCCATCACCCGTCACCACGGGGGCCAAGAGCCACAGCCAACTCAACACGGTTCGTACTCGCCGTCCGAAATGAAGGAGATTCCTGTCGGGCCACCGTTCTCTCTGATGTGTGTCTCTTTTTTCCTAGCAGTGGTGGTCGGAGAGAGTCAGTCTAGAGAGATCGGCTGAAGAAATACTGTCGGGCGTGAAGAGGGAAGTCGGAGTAGAGTTCCTTACTCCGATGGACCTTGATGGAGACCTAGACTCGGATGTCATGAAACTGGACATAAGGGACGAGAAAGGTATAACTAGGACACGTAAAATTGCGACGATTACTGTGTCTTGTTTAATTGCATTTCAATGACAATATTTTCTGAGCAGGTTTTCTCTACGGTGATCTCACAACCGAGCAAGTGATAGCAGAGAGTGGACTGCAGGATGAACTGGCGGGCCTTTATCTTCTTAATGACATGACATCATCTATAACAGCCGACTCCCTATTTCCAGATGATCTTAATTTTGCAGGATTGGAATTACCCCTTAGTGGCTGATCACTATTTGTAACAACCACTGTACTCATGTATTTATTACACAGTTTAATGTAAAGTGATTTCGTATCACAATATCCATGAGTAAAATTCTGTTTTGGTGCATTTTGTGAAAAGACTAATTTGTTATGATATAAGCAGACAATGCCAGTCGCCATAATCCTGTGGAGCCATTAGAGTTGTTGAGTAACTACATTGATATTGGTAATGATTATAGAGTTAAGAGAACTTTGCATCTCTGATAAAATACTTGTTTTATCCTAGTCATTAAGTAATATATTTGTCAAATTTTTGTATTTCAGGCTATGTATATATTTCCAGTGCAGATTGTGAAAAAAGTAAAGATGTGCATTTTTTAAATAATAATTAAAAGAAAAGGTAGCAAATTGTTAAATGGACAAAGTAGACACCCTTGTGCCCTTCTGTTTGTTACAAGTTTTGCTTCTCTTCTGAACTGCACTCCTTAAAAGATTTTAAGTTTTTAATAATACTGACTAAAGTGTAACAAAAGGTACCATCATGACTGAAGATTAACTCTTTTAGAGAGAATATCCTGCTTTTGAGAAACAGGCTAATTACCTGAAATATGATAAAAGTTTCATGATGCCAACTACTGACAAAACCGTCAAGTAGATTATTGTATTTAGAACTAAGACTGTACGACTGAACAGTGGTAGCGGCCTGTGCAAGATTAATTTGCTGCCTTCTCACCACTGTCCTGTCCTGATGTAGATAGTAATCGTCTGTAAATACATATATTTGTCTCTTGAGTGTTATAATTGGATAAACAATAGCATGTGTTTGGGTATGTTGACAATTTCTGTGCCCTGGGAACATTTATAGAATTCTTCCAGTTAGCTTCTAGTCTTACGTCAGTCATATCTGTAAATCTCTAGTCATTTTTGGAGACTTAAAAGTGATAAACAGGAGTTTGTAAAGTGTCTCTGCACTTCCAGCAGTAAGACTAGCATAAGGTCAATCTTACAGTATCCTGCCTCACATAAGTTAGGGAGGTTGTTGGCTCAGCTGCTATCTTGCCTTTAAATCAAAATTTTCATTGTAGAACAGGGACATTTTGTCCTAAGAGATTCAGCAGTTCTTCCTTCCTTCCAGGGGGCATTGGTTGATTTTTCTGAACACCCATTCGATCCGGAAGTTACAAAAGAGCTGACATCTACAAAGAGAGTGCCAATGCCTTTCATCTAAGAATATTTTCAATACATTTGATATGTAAATCAACTACTAAAGCACAATTCTTAAGCATTAATCCCGATCTTAATGCAACATTTTTGGAAGCACAGTGGCTATAAAATAGGTTTGTTAGAATATGTTGATGTAAATTTATCAACTGAATACCTGTGCCTTGTGCAAGATAAGTATGGAATAAAGAGTCTGTCGGTGATAATAAATAAAATGAATGAAAGTACTTCCATGAATCCCCTTTATTCATAATCGTGCGGCTTTTGTACAATGAATCAGGGCTAGTGACATTTCCCAGCTAACCAAATGCAATCCTTATGCACAGCATAAGTAGAATGATAGAACACATATCGGAAAGACTTTTAAAAGTGATAAACAAATTGAGACTTTAAAATACCTGGGGCCACCTTTACTGACGTTTGATACAATTTTGATACCAGCTAGCATTGACAGAGCTAGTTAGGCATTAACTACTTTCAGTTAAAAATAGCTTACAAAGCTGAGGCTCCAGAAATAATTTCAATAAGCTCCCTGGTGATGACAGCCTGTCTGGTTCGGTTGAATGTCAGCGTCAGCTTCTCAATCATCTCACCTAAAAATAATTTGACAAGTGTTAGTAAAAAGTGATAATAGTGATGAATACTAAAATGAAATAAAATGGAAGCTGAACATACCGGCGTTCTTGCTGGCATTGTCCATGGCTGTCATACGGGAAGATTGTTCAGAGCAAGCACCCTCCTTCATAGCAAAATAGAGCATAGATGCCAGTGAGAATTCCATGTAGCTCTTGATGACATCATCGTCAAGAGAGTCATAAGTTGAAATCTTGGGTGCCTTTGACACAGCATCCAAGCTGTACAGTGGCAGATCAGACACCTGGTATGACACCACAGACCTGAAAATAACATTTTGAAAATAAAGTTTTGAGCTCCAGACTAAATTTATCACTTTTGGGATGAATAAATGAGAAACTGACTTGAATTTATTGTAAATGATTTTTCCCTCCTGGAAGTCAAGTTTTGCAATTTCATCAGCAACCTTGGCAGCGTCCAGGAATGATGGGGGCTTCCTGCCAACCTCATTTGCAACGAGAATCAAATTCTTAGAATACAACCTTGGAAATAAAAAGGATAGATTAGCAAAGTACATTCACAATCTTTGTCAGCAATTTTCAACAGAAATGTTCTACATTGAATCAGGTTGGTTTCACACACCTCTGTAGGATAGAGCGAGACTTATCACCAATGCAAACAACTTTGGTGTTGGAGTCATCAATGGCAAGCTCATTACGGATCTGACGAGCCACACCGCTGTGCACAGCTCCACAGAGCCCACGGTCAGATGTGACAGCAATTAATAGCTTGCTTGGCTTTTCTTCTGTGCTCTTCACTTCAGCACGATCATAGAAAGCCTGAAATTGAAAAAATTATACATGTGATAAAAATTTTGCCGGAAATCATGAACTCTTAGATAAAATAAGCATAAGCGAATGGATACTTACAGTCGCTCCCTCTCCATAAGGACGAGCCTGTTTCAAATCCCTCTCAGCACGGGCGTATTTGGCAGCTGACACCATCTTCATGGACTGAGTAATTTTCTGAATGTTCTTAACAGACTTAAGACGGATGGAAATGGCCTTGAGGGTGGCCATTCCTCTTGCCTGCTGCTGCTGGGCCGCACTGTGGGGAGAAAAGACTTGTAACTCGCTGTATTCTAGGAAACAAGCAGTACTTGTAACAACAGGTACAAGCACGAGAATTGATAAAAAAGATTTCTATTCGATGATTTGTTACGTCTAATTAAGTTAGTTTCACTGTCAGCCACAGGTTTAAAGGTAAACACATGAGTTTGACTTTAACCTAATAAGGTGACTCCTAACCTATTCATTGTCAGTGATTGAGAGAGTGAAGGTATATGCCGACATTTATGTAACTAAAACTTTCAAAACAATAGAAAATTTTAATTTCGTCACTTTAAATTCAACTGTGATACAGTGAAAACATTGAATACGATAAAACTACCGACAGAGGTCAAATGAGTGTGAAAGAGAACATGAAAAGAATGAATCAGTTTGACAGGGAATGCCTCGACAACAGTTAAGATTCATAGGAGCTAGGAATTTTAATTGAATCCATCCAAAGAGCAGTAAAATAAATATAAATTCAGTGATTTGGATGGAGGAAACGGAATGCAGTCGGCTGGAGAGGTACGTCTAGCCTAGCAACTAACAAGTCGAGCTAGTCCGAACGAAGGACATTCCGCACTTACACATCAAATACGCAAATATTATACAAACATTGCTCTTTAAGGTATTTAAGAAAGCGATACAGGTATATGATTGTACGTACCATGGTGGCGCGACGGCCAAAATACGCCCGAAGTTGTTCATGATTGACCCTTCTGCTAATGTCGGATGGGAGAGGGAGCAGAACCGAACACCTCTGCAGTCACCGCCTGTGTTGGGCAAAACTGACTCTTACAAGCACGTCAGAAGTGCCAACGCCACACATGACATAAACGAATCGGTAGCAAAATTTCATCATTAGAAAAAGAGATTTTTTGGAAAGCAATAGAACACAAAAACTAAAATTTATGTTCACCTAAAAATGTGGTGTGTGTATTGTTGTTCATAAGGATGTTTCTTTTTTAAATTTATTTTGTTGCGGTGCCGTGGCGCATGCGTGTGAACACGATTAATGAGCGGGGAATTCCAAATACTTCCGGTTGGACAACAAATTGCAAGTTGCAAGCAGCTACATAAAAGCCAGCTACTTAAACTTGAGCTTAACGGACAGTTTACCTGTCTAGTATAAATGGGCAGCAAACCCGAGTTTGAGAGAAAAAGATAATGTACCACACATCACTTGCCAATAAGTACGTGGACTCCTAATCCAATGGAACAGGAAGGTACAGATTTACCTTCATTTTTTTTTTTTTTTAAGACTCTTAATGGTGGCTAATGAATAGCCGGAGTTGATCTGCACAATTAAAAAAAAAAAATATTCTGCAAGTACAATCTTGACAGCAATACCAATCAGGTGGATGAGGGAGGATTAATATGAGAGAAAGTGTAAAAGGTGAAATAATTCTACATAATTTTTTGGATATCTTTATTTTACTTAGATTTTCTATCCTTCTTTTTCTTCTTCTTTAGGGTCTTGGCATCACTATCATCTAATCCGTTATCATTCTGATCTTCAGCCGGTCTTTTTTCACCACTGGGAAAGAAAAGAACAATATAATATTAATTTTTACTTTAAAAACATATTCACACTCTACATGTAAAAGGACAATTTTGTCCATAGAAATGAAACCGATTTAGGAACAAAATTGCATCCTTTCTGGATGTGCACGAATCGGTCCCATTTCTATGGACAAAATTGTCCTTTTACATCTTATGCCACTACAAACTGACCTTTTAACTGAAATTATGTTTTTACTACTGCCTTTCAGAGCTTGGCCCCATTCTTGTTCAGAGCCCTTTATAGCATACTGACTGAAATTTTCCTGTTTCAATCTCTGTAGTTCTGCTTTTTGTTTAGTTTTCAATTCCTGTCAAATAGAAGAGAAACAAATGTTAAGCAATCATATTTGTAAAATAAACTTAAAGATAAATTCAGCGGAAGAGATCTCATGCCTTTGCTGCTTCTTCTAGTTCATCATTGAGACTTTTGCCACTGTGAAGTGATGGAGTGTCATTTGAAATTTGTTTGGGTCCTCCCATAGAAGCCTCAACTGCTTTGGCAGTAACTTCACTCAATACACTGACCGACCTCCTGACAGAACGATTGAAGAGGCCAAGAACTTGGCTGGAAGCTAGTTCTAAGTCAGCAGAGACTTCATCTACAGTACGATGTTGCAGACCTAGTCCCAGAAGAATAGCCTGACAAATAATAAAAAAATGTTAATTGTTATTATACTGTGCACTTAATTAGTTTCTGATTGTAGTTCATATCAATACTTACAGCTTGGGCTGCAGAAAGGTGCATTTCTCCTAGTTGGTTGAGGAAATAAAACCGTGCAAGAGGTGGAAGGAGATCCATAATCAGGTGGTAATCGACCAATTGATTGGTATACATTTCCAACCTCTTTAAATCATATTTTGTCATGAGTACTCCCAGCTCTTCAGATGATAATACTGAAATGTTTTGAAAACATTGTGATCTATTCATAAGTTTACATTCAATACTTCTCAAGGAATGACATAAACAATTCCTTAAAGCACTTACATTTTACAGGAACTTTGACAGCTTTGTTCTGAAGCAGGCCAAGAGCTAGTGCAGGAGTGAATGTCCTGAACTGGTAACTTAGAAGATTGACAAAGCGCCGCCGAAAATCAGTAAAGAATTCACTGAGCCAGACTAGGCCTCCTCTGTTGTGAAAACTGTCAACTGTGGTTTCATCTTCTCCAAGTAACGACAACATAATACATGAGTGTTCACCAGTCAAGTCATTTGTGGTTTGCCTGACAGAACAACACATAAACAATCAAGTTATTCTTTAGTTCAATACATTGTGTTGAGAACAAGAAAGTAAATCATGGGTAAGTAACAGGTTGTTTTTTTTAGTGTCTGTTTTTACCTAAGATAAACAGGAACAAAGCCAGCTCTTTTCCAAAATTTCAAAAGGGGCAATGTCAATCCAAAAGATGTACCAATATAGGAGAGCCTTTCAGGCCGTCTTTCAGATAACTTCAGAAGCAGTGGAGGTAATGATTTCCTTGGTTCAATAGATTCTTCCAAAAGTCCAACATCCTCTTCAGGAATTGGAACAATTTTTTTCTCATCAGGATTGTCCTCATCTAAACAAGGCATTGATCCTTCATAGTAGCGCTTCAAGAGGTTTAGTGCCCGTGAGCCATAGCCCATCTATTTTGCAAACAGGTGGGAAAATAAATGTTAAAAAAGAGATTTAACAGACAGATAGAACTAACTAGAAAAAGAGAAGTAAGCTCATACTCCTTGATAGTCAGGGTGTGTGGCTACTCGTACAATACGAGCACCAGCAAGCATTGGGAAATCTTGATCTTGGAACTGCTGAGCCACTGTCCAAGGAATCAAGTCGCCAGCAGCCCTTTTACCCCTTGAGAGACCATCAGCAGCGCTTTCCTTAGAGATCTGCCCCTCCAGACAAACCTAATGAAACAAAGATTGGATATTTATTTTTGCTGATTTAATTATAAGATTAACTTTAGGAAGGTATGGAAAAAGCCATCTAATTTACCTGAATTACTACAAGCACTTCTGGTAAAGATTTTCCATTGGGATCTACTGGTCCTAACAGACAAAACAAATGATGGGCAGGAGCATCAGACATCATTTGTAAATCATTAGGGCTATTCTTATAATGAGAGGCTACAAACAGAGCAACAACTCTTTGAAGGAAAGCTTCTGATGCCTTATGGTAGCAGAACAGTGTGTCCCTGAAAGCATAATCACATTATATTGAGGGCAACATCGTTTCACATACCAGGTTGACACATCTAAGGTCTTCATAAACCATGATTCAAGTAGACGTATTAACATTAACATCATATATGTACCTATTTATATAATATAAATCACAGGATTCAGGAGGTGGGCAGCCTGAGAGAATTGGTTGCACTGAAGTAGCATCCAAACATAATAAATCTGTTAGCCATTTTTCAATAGAGTCGCCAGGGGAATATCGGATGGATTCCGTGAGAGTCACTTCGGCAAGAGAGCGACCAGTGGCAGCAGATTGGTCTTTCCCCTTTACAGCAGCCACTCCAGATGGTGCAGCCTGTACTCTTAATTGCTGCAGCAACTTTAACGACAGAGACCGACCAGTTCCTTCATATCTGTAACATTTTTTAGATTACCGGTAATATTTACAATTGTGATACAATCCTGCCAGTAAAGAAAACTGAAATAATAAAATCTGTATTTTTAAAAGAAAAGAAAAAACAAATTACCCATTAATTGTTGAAGCCAAAAATACAAGATATGGCCCCAACATAGCTTTAACATATGGCAAAGGAATTGCGGCTGCTTCATCAATAACTAGAAGTTCACATTGTCCAAGTCTTTGATGATCAGTGGGGTGCAGATACTGAATTGTTTGCCTGTGGTCACGGAAAATATTCACACGGACCAATGCTTTGTTGAACTCTGGATTTGTTGACCTAACAAGACTATAGTCCAAGTGCTCCTGATATTCAAGGGCATCAAACCCTTTAAAAATAAATTCAAAGAAGGTCTTCAAGTTTTCAGGACTTGGTCCAGTCACAAAAATATTGGAATAGCCAAATGCAATGGCAGCTGCAACAGATAGTCCCAGAGCCGCTGACTTCCCTCTACCACGAGCAGCTGTGAGAGAGACAGTTGATCTAAGGGTTTTCTCAGAAATAGCTTCAACAAATTTAAGAAGTGCTTTGGCCTGGAAGAAATGAAGACAGTAAGAATTAAATGCTGCCAAGTTGTGCAATAATTTGAGGGCAATAAAAACACAGACCTGATCAATCGTTTTACATTGATTGATGAGTACACCAATTGGTTGTGTATCTCTCAAACTTTCTTTGAGTTCAGCCAGCTCTGAATCATGAGATTCCATCTCTGATTTTGAGACTGGCTTTACATCTAGGAGGTGAGAAGAAAGAGGTAAAACTGTCAAATCATCATCAACAACCAAGCAGCGATTACAGGATGCCAGGGAAAGAAGAAATCTGAAATAAAATTTAAAACAAAATTGTGAGTTGTACTTGGTCAAAGAAGACTACAGACATACAGTAAAAAGAAACAAACCTTTCGTTAAATCTGTTCACAACATCAGTGTGGGCCTCGGTACGATATCTCTCATGGACATCCATGCTCATAGTATAGAGCTGACGGAGAGATGCTACAGAGCGTAGTAAGATAACAACTACACCCCCTCCTTCAACTGTTTCTATAGTTCTTGCTAATAAATTAGGGGTCATAGCTTCAAAGTCCTATAAAATAATTCCTATTTAGAAGATGCACAGAAAGAAAAAACTACCTACAAATGACATGAATGCCAAAACAATTTTTACCTGTAAAACACACATGCCAAAGGTATTACCAAGAATTTTATGCGTTTCTGAATAGTAGCAGTATCTAATGTTTGTGGAAGCTACAAACAACTCAAATGGATCATCCTCATTGACATTTAAAGTGCCGGATTTGACTTTCCTCTGTAAGTTCTTCATTCGCTTTTTTCTGTGGCTAAAACGTCAAAAAAATTCAGGTAGAATTAAGAAATAAGACTTAGCGACAGCAACATCTAGTGACGTGTACTGAAGAATTGTACCTGCTGAAACCAAGTTCCTTCTTATAGCACCATAACACAGAGGGACGAGCTTTAACAGCTGCTTTTGAGAGCATGTGATGCAGAATAACAACCTACAAATGAACATGCAAACGATTATTAATATAGTTTACCAACTGAGTGTGAATATGCTACTTGGTCAACATAATTATCTGGTACGTAATCGGATACAAAGATCTACAGTAACAACACCGTTTCAAAATTTGTACGATTAAATAAAAGGACCTCGATAATACAATATAAAAATCCTTAAAGTACATCCAAAAAAATTCTACTTAAACTTCTGAAGAACCCAAGTCATAGGTTAAGCCGTGTTTACATTCATATTACCTGATCTCGTCCTTTGTCACCAACAACGACGAACATGGTTCTGTGTCCTTCAGAAACACCATTTTCGATTAAAACCCGGAGGCGGTTATCTATCTTTTTACGAACCATTGTAGACTGAAAATTTGATGTTCTTTAAAGTAACCTTAATCAACACACGTGTTGAACTCGCCCCGTGTGTGTGCAGTGTGTGTGTGCGCGTGTGTGTGTGGGCAGCACAGTTAGCCAACCCGAAAGAAATAAATACAAATCTCGGGTGTTTTGTAGTTGCTGTACGTACAGTACACAGACCGTCCGCCGAGTAGTACTGAAGTACTTTGGTAGTACCGAGTAGTAACATGGAGTAAGTAGAAAACGCAATATTTGTTTGTCAAATGTGTGGAAGTACACAGTACACACAGTCATACTTATTTCACATTTTATTCGTTTTAAAGAATAAATCGAAACAAAAGTACAATTAAAAATATGAAAAAACATGTGCAAATTTTTCAACAAGAATATTATCTGTTCATATTTTGGAATTATTAATAGATTCATGGCTGATTAAGTTTAGGTTGTTTGAAGCATAATGAGAGCTAATCACGAAGGTTGTACATGTCGAGAACGGCTTCTGCAGCCACCTGGCGGTTGCCTATCTGGAATTCTTCCCACTCTTTAGACTTCATAATCTGAAACAAACAAAGTCCGAACAAACATTGAACAAGGGAGACATAGAAAGTAAAATTAATATTTGATGTTGTGGGTGCTCCACACTTTGGAATATGTTAAAGGCAAAACTAATTTGTTACTCCTCCGCTTAAATAAACATATTAATTGTCAATTTTGTTTAAGCACTGAAAAGTTTAAACCGCACCTGTTCACGATGTGCTTGTAGGTACTGCAGTACAACCCTCCTCAAAGATGGACTGTTGTTTGTGGCACTTGTTTTCAGCAAGTTGCAACAGACAGAGGGAGCTGTGCTGCTATTTGATTCCAAACTGTACTTTAATCGCTCTTTGACCTCATTGCATAAATCTGTTACCAGATACTGGTCTGCAGCTATGAGCAGTTTTGTCATATCAACATTCTTTCCAAGACTCCCTGTGTAGATGTACCTAAAAAACAAATATGTGGGGAGTAAAGAACATTTATTTAGTTAAAAGAAAAAGTAAGATCTTTCAAAAATTAGTCTAAGCAATTAATCTGTAAGCTGCAAACCGACCCACATTCCATATTCAATTTTGAAGGTATGAGTGAAGTCAATATTAATTTTTTAAAACAGTTTTCATTTATAATTTTTTTTTTAGTATTAACCGTTACCTGAGCATTTCCTTCAGGGTAGGTACAGACACATCACTGACATCAACAAGAGCGTTTCCAATTCCATCCCATTCAGGTTTGAACTTTACTTTGAAGAACTCGCTGCGAGCAGCCAGTATGCAGCAGTGGGCGGGTATCTCTTGGCCATCGGTGCAAAGCTTCACGTCTGACATTAGGCCCGACTCAAGGAGGGAGTCTAGACTCTTAGTCAGCAGGCAAACACCGCTGAATGCAGGTTCTGGCTGCGGCTTTACCTTTTGCATGGAAGTCAATCTCAGATCAATCTTAAATGTAGCCTCTACAGGATACCCATCATATGTATTATATGGATATTCTTGTGTGAAAACTTCATAAGGCATATCCAAGGCACGGCCAACAGTGGACAGGGTGAACCTCTTCGTATTCTTAGGGTACCAGTACTCAATGTAGCCACCCCAAGGAATTATAGTTTCAGCTGACGGTCGTGATCGACCAGTGACAATCTTGTTCCGGTCACTGGCAGAACACAATACTTTCAGACGATAAGAATTGGGTTTTCCTTCTGTTACTTCAAGTTTGATCGTCCATGTCCAGAGAGCATCAGACGAAACGAGTGGAAAGGAAGATGCCGAGATTTTGACGCCACCAGGGACCGCCGGCCGCCGTGGAAATGGGATGGCCACAGTGACATCGACTGTGGAGGTGACTCTCTTTGTGTCCATATCTGCGGAAAATAAGTTGTTCAGGAATCGCAGCCGAGTAGCGCCGATCTAGAAATGCGCATTAAAATGCACATAAAAGGTAACACATTTTCGCCTCATTAAATTCGCACATTGACAAGTTAATTGGCATTCCCCACCCCAGTAGCGCAAACCGCATTAAATGCGCTTCAATGCGCATTAAACTGCACACAAAACGTGACACATTAGTGACGCTTTTAAAGCGCATTACAGCATTTAATGCGCATTTAATGCACTCTACGCGCATTTAATCCGTCACCAATGAGTCACCTTTTATGTGCATTTCAATGCGCATTGAAGCGCATTTAATGCAGTAGCGCTTCTCGGGCAGAAGCGCGCCAACGCAAGCTCTCCTAGCGCCTAATAGGTAGGCAACATCTCGCCTGCAGTGCGTGCGCGTGCTGGGGGTTGGCCTACCCCGAGTCTCACAGGCGCCGAGCATCCGTAACTTGCAGCATGAGTTGGAGAATTTTTTTCTTTAACTTTCTGGACGGTCACTTAAATACTAATCATCTACCATAATGTGCATCAATAATGCGGCAATGCGTACAAAAATGTGCGTAAAAGGTAGACACATTTTCAATGCGCCAAACGCATTCAATGCGCTTCAAGGCGCGTGGAAATGCACAGAAAAGTTGACACATTGTGCGCATTACGCGCATTTAATGCGCCAGCAATGTGTTACCTTCTGTGTGCATTTCCACGCGCCTTGAAGCACATTGAATGCATTGAAGCTTCTAGGGAAGCAGATTGGCGAGCAGGGGCGTATTAGGGGGCAAATTGCCTATCTTTCGGCGGCTGTCTTGTGGGCCACCGGGGGGGGGATGGGGAGTACAACATTGTAACCTTTAAAAGTTCCTGATTGATCGAGTCGACCCTTTACCCCCACTACCGGCGTGGTGCAAAAAGCGGGAAACTCTCGACCAATCAGGATGCGGTGCGGTGGATAGGGGTATTCCCCCCTGACATCAGTACACCATCCCTTGGATTCCATACAGCGTTGATAAATACGGTGATGATTTTTAGGACCGCATGGTCCCGAATTTGGGTTATTTCTCGCCTAGGGTCATTAGTTCGGGAGATATAGACTCCGGTAATACGCCCTACCAAAAACGGTCACGTTTACCGGCGCACGTAAGGTGAAGCTGACGCCGCAGCGCAGACAGTTCAACACTGCTCTGAGACGCAGTGCTCGTTTTTCTTACCACTAGGGGTATACATTAATATTAAAAAACGATTTTATGCTTTAGCGCAAATAAAAATTTGTGGTCACTCTTGTGTTTCTCGTAAGACCGTCAAAAGTTGGGTTGGGATCCCCCTTCTTTCTCTACTCTTCGTCCTCCGTCAAACGGCTACGATGTAACGGGGGGCTTTCTTTTGATTCTTTTATCGTAAACACTAGTCGTTACACAGCAAATATGTCACAATACACGGTGCGCTAGGGCGAAACGTACCTGTACAATAGTAGACTAGACGACTAGGAGATAGAGATGTATTACGGACTTCAGAAGGCGGTGGTGGAAGCATGACGTACCGACAAGCGACGATCGTCTGGAGATCAAATGCGCGCGACCATTCGATCAGACAACGAAACACTTCAACTTAAAATCAGCTGTGTTGAATTATTTAAAGAATTTTCCGCGACATAGCCTATTTGTTTGAAATTCGTAGAAATGCACGTACAGGGTGGGTGATCTGCGCCGTCTTTTTTCCTGCATAACCGGGCGGGTGCGGGTTGCATAGTCGCACGGGGCCGTAAGTGCCGTAAGGCGCGGTACGCCTTTGGTAATGCGCGTAATAATGCGCATAAAAGGTAACACATTCGTTCCGCATTTTAAGCGCATTATGTGCATTTCATGCGCATTTAATGCAGTTATGCGGATAAAATGCGGAACGATGTGTTACCTTTTATGCGCATTACTACGCGCATTGCCGCAGCTAATGCACATGTAAGCAGATTTAAGCGCATTAGCGCTACCGGGGATGGCGAGCAACGGTAAGCAAGCCCGACTGCACGTCTACATCTGGTACAGTATACGCAGAAAAGACGGCCCTGCAAAGGGTAAAACATTGGTAAAGCGAATCAAACCATTTAATGTGCATACTCCGCACAATGATTAATGCGTCACCAAGTCACCTTTTGTGTGCATTTCTACGAGCATTGAAGCGATTAGGGTGTGGAGGTTGAGCGAAATGAAAGAGAAAAAACTCTTCTGATTACTACTTTAATCGTCAGGTGCAGTCTACAAAAATATTTTCTGATCATAATCAAACAGCACAGAAAAATACTAAAATTGTTTGTTTTTTTCTATTTTTAATGTCACAGCACGCTTGATCAAGTTTATTTGCAAATCAATGAGTAAACATCAATTTTCATAGATGTGATGTAAAGTACGCATTGCATATAATACTGTTACTATAACAGATGTATGTTCAGAAAGGTATTAAAAATTAACTAATAAAAATAAGATTATGGTTTTAAAAATTGTTAAATAATTTAAAAAATAAAAAAGAACATATATGTATATTGGAATGAACTAATTGTCACATGTTCTTGGTACTACACCATCAAAGTAATTTAATTAACAGTCCAAAAATTACTGGAGATGTGTTAAATGCATCATCATATTATTAGTTATTACAGTCTCAGATCCTTAAGCTGGAGGGCGCACTGGAAGCAATGGAGCTAGATACTTGACACAAGAAAATTTGAAAAGTTATGCATCTAGTCGAATGTCTTCAGCAATGCTTTTAATGCAACTTTTGAAAGCCAGGAACAAAACGAAAACAGTTTAAAAAAGTCCTCGCAGCTTACTATTTGTAACTAATTTTGGTCCCCAACTATACGTAAAAAACAACAACAACACATTATTCCTGGTCAATCACAGAAATGTGGGGGTATCTATCTGTTCTGCGTCATTGAAACCATTTTCATAGTTAGTGAGTAATCTTAAAACGAGTGACTATAACGGTGATGTTGCTCCACTCCTGCAGGGCGGCGCACTCGGCAGCTCAACAGCAGCCCTCCCTCTGGGTGCGGCGGGGGTGGCGGGGAGGGGCTGCGGTCCGCCGCGCCCAGCCGCCTGCAGGCCGCTCCCGCCGTGAGATCAAGGCACCGGTCACTCGGCGCATTCGCGCAGAACCCGGTTGCCCAGGGGCAGCGGGGGGCGGAAGTTCTTGACGAGGACACCGTTGAGGTTATCACAGGGGCATTCCTCTCCCTCGGAGAAGCAGCGCAGGGAGCGCATGGTCTCGAGCTGACGACATACAAACAAGACGCGCCATTGTCAGTTGACTGAAGGCTGGAATCGCTGGGTAAAACGGCCCCGAGTATACACGGGCCCCGGGCCCTGTAGGAAACGCTCACCTGATCCTGGGAGATGGTAAGGGGCTCCTTGAAGACGATCCAAGTCACGCTCTCGTTGCAGGGCGGCGTGGTCAAAGAGCCAAGGTAAGTCCAGTAGCTAGACTTGGCTGTGAACAAACGGGTTGCACTTCCATCATCCCTCCTCCTCATCCTCTTCTTCGCCATCTTCAACGTCTACTAGAAATCCTCCCCCCTCCTGCGGGGACTACCAGCCAAGCAACCAACCTGGCAGCAAGTTGGTCGGGTCCAGCTCCCCGTCGATGTCCACGTGCGCCCCCTTGTGGGTGATCTTGCCCATGAGGGACGTCACCTTCTCGAGCTCCTTGAGGGGCTGCCCGACCTGCACAGAGACACGTTCAGCCGGTCAGTTCGCGTCCTCGCCTCAAACGTTCGCTCGCACCCTTTGCTGGCCGGCGGTCTCACCCTCACCTGCAGGAAGACGCCCAGCACGGCGAGCCCGTCAGGCTGAGCGGCCGCCTCGCCGAAGGAGTCGTACTTGTCGCAGTTCCAGTGCACGAGGTGGAGCTGCGTGGGAGGAGAAGCACAGACCGGGGGGTTAGTCGCGGTTTCCCTTCACTCACACAGCGCTCGCTGCCGCGGCGCGCGAACGATGGGTGGCCTACCTCCCCGGCGAACGGCTGGCCGTCCACGGTGTGCTCGGAGCCCTCGTTGTCGTAGCCGCCCCAGTGCATGTGGAACTGCTCGAGGCGGTAGCGGGAGCTGAGGGGGCCGCCGCTCAGCTCGGAGAACCAGAACATGAGGTCGTCCTTGCGGGCTGGAGAGACCACCAGAGAGAATGGAACGAGAATTAAACGGGCACCGCATGGGTTGTTGGGATTCATTTGGAGGAAAAGTTGGAAACAGAGGAAAAGAAAACGTCTGCACTATTTAAATGTGATTGGTTTTCAACTCGAAGTGCGTGCTAGGGTACTCACGTGCAGTCGGGCCCGAGATCTGCACCTTCCAGCCGTAGCCGGTGTTGCTGAGCGAGCAGCCGGCCTGCGGGTTGTAGCGGCGGTGAAGCGGGCGCGCCGTGGTGTCGGGGCGGGCGTCGGACCCCCTCAGGTCCACCGGGGACTGCCGCGGCCCCAGAGCCAGCGGGTACTTCCGGTGCCAGGTGAGAGGACCTGCGAACATTGCGGGTGGGCTTGGTGAGCGACGTTGACACGCGATTATTTTCACGGAAAAAAAAGATTCGCTGAGCCAGCTAATATATTGACTGGTATCTGGACAGACAAGCACAAAAACTTCTGTAACCACTATATTGTCTACTCTAATCAATCATTGGCTGTGCCAGTCAAAGATAAGTTGTATGAAGTAATGATTTGCCTGCATCAGTAAGGCAGACCTCGACTGACTTAGGTAAGGGATGAGCTCTTACAGCTAATTTTAAGTTTATGTGCTTGTCTGTCCAGATACCAGTCAATATATTAGCTGGCTCAGCGAATCTTTTTTTTCCGTGTTTGTGGATTGGCGAACAGACATGATTCTGCTGTGCAAATCTCTCAGAGAGAGATGAAGAGGAAAAGAGGAGGGGGCGTCACATGGGAGAGTCGAGTCGAGAACCCACGGCACGAGTGCCCCCCCCCCCCTTTTCCCTTTCCTTCTTCTACCCTGCCGCCTACCTTAAGCTAGGCATCGTTGTTGGCAGCAGCAAAACCATAAAAATAAAAACAATCTGCTCCAAACGACAAATCACAACATTGCTTATCACGCTGAATTTGCACGCAAAGGGGACATCTGTCCGTCAACGCCAGTCATGCAGCGGAAGAACGAGGATATGAGGGAACGGGATGAGGAGGGGGAAAGAGCGGGGAGAGGGGGGGGGGCTGAGGACGGTGACGCGGGCAGCCTGGTCATGTTTACTTCTCCCAAAGGAAGTGAGTGAGCGACGAGAGGGAGACAGCGGTTCTTCTCCTAGCCAGCCTGTCGTCGGGCCTTGATGGTCGCAGGCTCTGGACGAAGGGAGGGGGACACAGACAGAGCAGGGTGTCTGAGCCCCCGACTTTGGCCGCGGGGGGTTTGGCGCCAGTCAGCGCGCTCTGCTTTGGGCCGGGCCTGCCGGGCCCTGCTTTCTTGCCGCAGTGTACTCATCATGATTCGGCTCATCAAGGCTCAGTCAGAGGCGAGGCGGGTCGGCCCGGCCGGGTAGCCAATTCGATTCGACGCGAGCACTGTTGGACATCAAGCTCCCCTTTGTGGCAATGTGGGGGCACAGACGAAATCTTGGAAATGCACGCGCCAACGACGCATTCAGCAGCTGGGCAGCAGCAGCACTGAGAAACACTGAGCAACGGTGAGCACGGGTGAGCAGCATTGAGTAGCGGTGAGCAGGCCCGTGGGTGGTAGCCCATGCCACGTGTGATGCTGGCAGCGCTGTCACTGCATTGATGAGTACGGCGCAGATTTGAAGGTCATTTTCTCTCTCTATCTCTCTCTGTCCTCCTCCACCCATCTGCTCGTCTCTCTCCCCCTCTCTCTTCGCTCTTACTCGTGGCGTCCTGATGATCTCACCTGGACGCCACAACAGGAGGGCCGGCATGGCACACCCCGAACACCATTAGTTCGGCTCACATTCAGCTCACTCTCCGAAAAAAAAGGATCAACAAAACCTAAAGGCAACAACGCAATAATTATTTTTGTTACTGTTGTCATTTGCTAGCATAGTCATACTTTATCGGCTTATTTTTATTATTTTCTCTCCCTACCGTCTTATCACCTACTTTGATGCAACGCAGCGGTAACGTGACGCCCTAGCGAGGAAGGAGCCCGCCCTGACCTTGTCACCCGGCCGGGTTAAGTTCCCCCGCGCCGTCGACGCACAAGTAAGCACTCGCTGACTTATTCACTCAGTAGCCTCGCCCGCCCAGCCACTGCTCCGCCCCCGCGGTCATACGCTACACGGTCATGCACGTGCCGCGGATATTTCGTCTTGATGCGCCATTTATTTGCGGAACCCTCTGTGTGCCCCCCTCGGAGGAGAACTGAATATTAAACACGCGAGAACGAGCACAGAAAAAAGGAGAGTTACCATTGTAATTATATTTCAATGGCCAGTTCCATGGCGTTTGTTTTACACAGTTTTAGATAGAGCGCCGTTGGTCGGCGTTATTTGGACTGCAACCGCAACACGAAAATTGTGGGGGGGGGGGGAAACTGGTGGTGGTGCAGTTGCAGTCGACGGCCTTTCAGGTGCAAACAATTAAAACGACAAAATAAAATTTGTCCTTTATTCCAGTGTCCGCTCGCCGCGTCGCGGCCGGACAGAGACCCCCGAGGCCGGGCCCGCCGCCGGGCCGTCAAAGTCATAATAACTGCCGTTGGCTGCGCGCGAGCGCAGGCAGAAGTGTGACACATGCACGACACATGTGTCACACTTGTGTCACACTTGTGTCACACATGTGTCACACACTAGGGCCGCATGCCACCAGCACCGGTCACACGCGGCACAGCAGGCCCGGCACAGGGCGGGTTATCAACGCCGTGTGATAAAAGCACCAGACGCACACAACTCAGATGACATGCGGGAAAAAAATAAGAGGAATAAAATCAGAGTGATTACTTTCGTGAGTGAGTGTATGTGCGCGCAAGTCATGTACTTATTGTCGAGTTTATACTTAATGTTGCGCGTATAGCAATTTTGCGCTCTTCAAAAATGAAAAGCGACCTCCCAGAGGCCCGCGTAGACGCGCGGTCGCACGCGACGACGAGCACAGCGTGT